TCTAATTCCCCACTAAATTCCTCTAATTCCCCACTAATTCCCCACTAATTCCTCACTAATTCTTCACTAATTCCCCACTAATTCCTCTAATTCCCTGCTAATTCCCCACTAATTCCTCTAATTCCCTACTAATTCCTCTAATTCCCTACTAATTCCCCACTATTCCTAGAGGTTGTACACCAAAATTCCCCAGCGAAATACCCCTCGGGTTAGTATTTTCTTCGTGTAAGTGCAGTTTTTGCCGATTTTTGGTACTTATGACCATTTATTCTATTCTTGAGAAGTTGGGATGTCAATCCAATAAATATTTTAGGACAATCAGAACATAGAATTGAATATATAACGTTTGATCATTTCATAGTTGGTACTTTGCTTTTAAGTTTAGCAACAAAAAGTTGAGATTATTATACGTTTTATGACTTACAGTTATATTATATTTTTGTAGAGTATTTTTTATTTTCTCTGAAAGGTCGTGAACATATGGTAAGGCAACATAGGTGTTTTTTTCTGTATTACCACTTTCTTTTTTATTACTAATAGAAATTGAGTTATAAAACTTATAAGTCCTTTTTTTAAAAATTTGATTGATTTGCTTAATATTATAATTATTTCTAACTAAAGTCTATCAAATTTTTTTTCAATATGGTAGGTCTAAATTGCGGGGATGTTAGAGCAATTGCACGGTCCGTTAAACCTATGATGACACTAGTTTTAATATTGAAAATGTTTCTGTTATCCTATATAAGGGAGCCCAAATCGAATTAAAATGCTACATTTGCCACACCATGACGTCATATATACAAGGGTATAGGAAATCTCGGCGCAGCGGCGGCAGTCGGCCAGCGCGCGCAAAAACCATTACATTTCTAATTGTTTATTGATATATCTTTATTAGTTTAAAAGCAAAAAATATGGGGTTTGCTTTGATACCTTGTCAAAACATAAGCGAAACTTTTAAATTGTTTCTTTTTTTCATTTAGGCTTTCGTTTTTCGTTAAATGAAAGTTATATTAAAAAAATCTATTTTTAAACCAAATTTTCGCATGATTGAAATGATTATTCACGTTTAAAGTTTTTTTTGGTCATAAGCGCGAATGGAAATGTTTTTTCGTAAATAATTATAAAAAATTACTCCCTACGAAGACTTTATTGTGTACTGGATCAAAAAATAAGTATTTGTTGTCTCTATACGGTGGTATTAATATATCGATTTTTGATGATAGTGCTCTTTTACCCGGTCTAATTTTGTACTACTTTCGGAATAAGGATCTATCATATCATGTACTGTACTTCCATCCCTGAAAAATTCAGCTTGTGACACCGAAGTGAGAGGTAACGTCAAAATAAGCTTTTAATCTACCTACATCATAGGTAGGTGTAGGTACTCTAGGTATATTCTACCTAGACAGTAGCTGAACTAGCTGACAGTAGTAATTAATTTGTTATCCGATAAGTAGTTGTCATTATATAAGTTTAATCATCTTATACCTCCTATAACGGTAGGTTTTGGATTTTTCCTGATTGGTTTGTTAAACAAAAATATACTGGGCATATAAATGTCTGTTACAGGTTAATTCGTTAAAGAAATATGTTACACACATATTATTTTAATAATAATAGTATAATAGTAATGGCTATATTATGTTATAACACATACATATGTATTGAATGTACTTATTTTAACCAATGCATTGTTTTGTTTTTTTAATCTCACAAATAAGAAATGTTTTATAGTTTTTATTATAAAAAACAGTGATTATACAATTTATTTACACCCCTTACACTGTTTTCTGTAAGGGGTGTAACCAGGAGTATATTTCGTAACCTCTTACGATATAAGAGGGCACAAAGTGTTTTATTACTTAATGCTTAAAATTTAATAATATATTTGTACATAAAATAAAATAGACTAGAAAGTCAATTAATTAATATTGACGTAATTACTAAATAAGTACAAGATTTTTTTTCTAATTATTTTAGTGTATTTTTAGTCACCTAATTATAAAGGAGAGATATCCAACCATTGCATTATTTTACTCACAAATAAATGTTTTATGGTTTTTATTATAAAACAACGATTAATTTATTATACACCCCTTAACCCAAACACTCCAAGGAGGATATTTCGTGACCCCTTATTTAAAGTGGACAAGCTTTATTAGTCAATGTTTTAATTACCCAGCGTCTTTAATAAAAATCTAATGTAATTTTTCATAGAAATGATCTGACATAAAAAGCAAATTTTATCAAAAAACTTTTTGATTATCTACAAGGAGTAAACCGCTGACAAATGTCTGTATACTAATGCCAAAGTAATGCCAAAAATACAAATTAAATACCAAAATTTCTCATATAATGCCCCACTAATGCCAAGCTGATTCCAATATAATACCACTAATACCACGAATAATATGTAACACATTTGTTTCACGAATTAACCTGTAACAATACTGGTAGGTACGTGCACAGATTTTTTCCTAGGTAACTTAAAAGTCGTTAAAAAGTCTAATTATATTTAAAGAAGATATAATTCCAACAAATTACATTATAAGGCCAATAATGCACAAGTAATACCATTAAAATTTTAGCGTTTTTAACTTGTGTAACATATTTCTTTAACGAATTAACCTGTAACAATAGTGGTAGGTACGCGCACAGATTTTTTCGCTAGGTAACTTATTAAGTCGTTAAACAGGCCTATAAAAGCTATAACAACATAGGTAACTAATATTTATAATTTAATTCGAGTTTTAATCTCAAATAATAAATGTTTTTACTGGTGTATTTCTGAAGTGTTCATTATTAAAAGTAGATATTCTTCAAGTTATGCGAAGTAATAAGTAATGTTTCCGGTGAGACCGCGTATATGTCACCGGATTCTGGTTAGTATAAAGACTTTTTCTATAGAAAGAGTTTTTTCTATATTTTCCTTTCAAAATAAGACTAATTTCTTCTTATTCTTTTAAATATTACAGTGTTTCTTTTTCCTAAAATGTTATACTTAATTTTCGCTTAAAATTAAAAAATCACAAATGGAGGAAAATATACGTTATTGAATAAAGTTTATACAAATCACTTTACCATAACAAAAAAGTAAAAACATGTCATGGCGGAAGATTTTCAGGTGGCATTTCACACATTTATCTATTAAAATCGAGATTAAAATAATAAACTTGCGTAACATGTTATACACGAGATAGAATATATACGTTTGGCTAAACAGGCTGGACACGGTGGAGTACGATATTGGCGAGTCTGAATATTTATAAAAATTTGCAAAGTAAAATATGTTGGAAAAATAATTAATCCATACATATATAAAAGCTCAAAGGGTTTTTTTGTTGCATCCATCCCGCCGAAACCGCTTTACCAATCTTGATGATTCTTTTTTTAAATGAAAGGTATATATGTGTTATGAAGTATTTTTAATATTTATGAAGTATTTTTAATATTGTTATGAAGTATTTTTAATATCATTTTTTTAAGCGTTACGTTGACGATTGCTTAGTTGCCGGACCAGACGATAAAATAACTGATATCCAACAAGCGTTTAATAAGTTTCACAAAATTTTACAATTTACTTCAGAAATAGAAAAGAACAATGAAATAAACTTCCTTGATATGACTCTTATCCGAAAGGACAGCAAAATTTTAACTAAGTGGTACACAAAACCAATTTGATCAGGTAGATATCTCAACGGTTCCTCCAATCACTCCAAAACCCAAAAAACTAGTGTCATCATAGGTTTAGCGGACCGTGCAATTGCTCTAACATCCCCGCAATTTAGACCTACCATATTGAAAAAAATTAGGGAGACTTTAGTTAGGAATAATTACAATATTAAGCAAATCAATCAAATTTTTAAAAAAAGGACTTATAAGTTTTATAACTCAATTTCTATTTGTAATAAAAAAGAAAGTGGTAATACAGAAAAAAACACCTATGTCGCCTTACGATATGTTCACGACCTTTCAGGGAATATAAAAAATACTCTACAAAAACATAATATAACTGTCTGTCATAAAACTCTCAAGTATAATACTCTCAAGTTTTTGTTTACTAAACTTAAAAACAAAGTACCAACTATGAAAAGATCAAACGTTATATATTCAATTCCATGTTCTGATTGTCCTAAAATATATATTGGAATGACATCCCAACTTCTTAAGTATAGAATAAATGGTCATAAGTACCAAAATCGGCAAAAACTGCACTTCACAAACACGAAGAAAATACTAACCACTCTTTTGAATACCATAATACAGAAATAATTAATAGACATAAATTATAACAAGTTGGCTATTAAAGAAGTTATAGAAATAAAAAAAAAACATTCGAACGCCGTTAATGACAAGACCGAAATAGGCCAATTTTACAATATATACAACAACATTTTAATCTAAAAAAATAAACGCTTGATAAGAAAAATAAATGAATCATAGTAGGTACTCTTAATGTAAACCCTTAGTAGGTACTAAGGGTTTAATTTTTAACTAAAAGACCCTTAATTTTGTGACCAACAGAAAGATGCATTTATCCAAAGAAAAAACAACAAAAAAAACACCAAAAAATGCTTTCCATTTGTTGATAAGATTCTTAACATACAGTAAATTATTAAAGCAAGACCTTTTGAAAAGCACGAACATTGAAAGTGCTGAAAAAATAAAAATCTCAAGGTGTGTATCCTTTTTAAATTACATTTCTTGTTTTTTAATTGTATTTGTTAGCTAATTGACTTAATTATATAGTATATTAGTTTAATTTGTTGTATGAATGTTTTTGGTGTTTAATTTGACATTGTAATTTATATAAAAAAAAATTTTAGATAATAAAAACTTTTGAAGATGCCCCGATATTAAGGGCGAAACGTCAAGAAGATGTTTAAAAGAAAAAACTAAATTTATTATTTATTAACGAACCTCAACCCAAGAAAATATTACATTTTTATAGTTAAGAAATGGTTCAAGAAACTTACGCAAAAATATACATTTATACTCACTCGATTAAATGTTGACTATTTCCATCTTCTGTGAGTTGCATATGAATAGGTGGCAAAACAATAATCTGATTCCATGGAACATAAACTGTAATAGTTTTAGGTTTAAATGGCGATCTTTGAAACTGTAAGGTGACAGCTCCCCCGCCATTAACTAATACGTCAAACCTGAAAATGAAACAGGAGTTCTAGTAATTTGTTTAAAGATCAAAATTAATTATTTTTGATTTTAGCGGGTTGTTAAGAATCTTTTTTTGGATCCAAAGCAAAAGCTACAAACCCACTTCAATGAATTTGTCTTGTATGGGGTATGCCATTAAACGCCGAAACACAGTAAATGTGATGAGAGGTTTATGATCATTTATCATTTATAGTTAATTAATAAAGCATACCAGAACAGTACGATGGCACAGAAACTCTGTAATAAAAACTCGACAGTTTTCCCCTTCATAAAAAGATCAAAGAAGTCCCTATGTATAAAAATAAAATAACGAGCAAACTTATTGATGATAAAAATAAATTATTGAAAGATAAACAAAAAAATGGATATATGCAGAGCATGCATTACAGATTGTTTTAATAAGTATCTAGAGCCAAGAGGTCAATGGGATAATTTGATATTTATATAGACGGGGCAGGCATACTAAAGTAGGAACTACCTAGGCTACCTATTAGCCTTGAAAAAAACTAAAAATGGAAAAGCTGTCGGTCCTGACAGCATAAATAATGTTGATATCCCCAAACTATTGGAATTAACTCTAACTAGACTAACTCTAAAATACGCAATGAGTACTGTCTGATAAGCCTTATGTGTCATACGTCATACATTGAAGGTGGTTTTGCGTGTCCTGTACTTTAGAGTCCTTGGAGAAAGATTTACTAAATTATAAATGAAACCCAATTCGTCTCTAGAAGTGATCTGGGAATCAGAGATACTTTGTTGGCAACACAGGTGTTAATCCAAAAATGCTTCGATCACCAGACCGTGCTATATTATATATTATGAGAAGGCAAATGCCTTCTACATATACAATATACTATACAAATACACGACAAACTAATACATTTACTGAAACAGATTGGGTTAAATAACAAAAACATAAAAATTATCATCAGAAATTTATACTGGATTCAATCAATCAGCTCATATAAAAATTGGTAATATATCAAAATCGTCACAAGGCGTCAGGTAATATTATCACTACTTCTATTTAATTTATACTCTAAATTCCAGGAGGTGTTGGAAGACTTAGAAGTGGGAACAAATGTGAATGGTAAACTTATTAATAACGTCCGACACGCTGACGATACGGTGCTTCTACCTAGCAATGAGGAAGATTTACAATACCTGCTAAAAAGAACAATATTAGTCAAAATTAAAGTCTCAAAATTTATGATCATCAGCAAGTTAAATATTGAAAATGTCAGGATACAAGTAGAAGATCCGGACATAGAAAGGTAATAATATTTAAATAATTGGGATGTTGTCTAAATGATATAGGATTTTGATGAAGAAATTAAACATAGAATTGCAAACGTTTTTCAAATGAAAACATTACTCTGCAACCAGGGCCCGAATCTAAAAGAATAATTAACTTACTTTAAAACGGTATTTTTTTAAAATATTATACTGCAAAATAAAAAAAATAAGGAAAATAAAACGTTTTTCAGTTTTTAGCCTAAATTAACAAGTTTTTTAGCATTTTACTTTGAGTGTTCAGACAAGTTTTTTTTAAAATTAAAGAAAATATTTACTTTTAATTTGTAATTCTGTATAAAAAACCAAGATCATCACCGAGTATTTCAAAGGGCTTTCTACATGGTTTACATTTATTTTAATTAAGATTTTCCGTTGTTTCGTCAAATGAAACTGAATCTCTCGATGTTGGTGCGTCTCCACTTTGACATAACAAAGTAACCTCAGAACGTTTAGAGGAAAGATAAAGTACAGATTTTAATTATCATGAAATATTTATCTTAATATTTTACATTATCTATAGATCTGTAGAATATATATTTCTGTAAAATGCAAAAAGTGCCTCTGGTAGAGCTTGCATTAGAAGATTTTAATGAACTGCAATACCTAGATCGGAGCTATATTTCTACATCACAAACTTTTAATTTTGTTACCAAAAATGTTTTTCTATACGCTATTTCTCATATCATAATACCGATATGTATAATAACTCAATTTTACAGTTTATAATATACGTCTCTGCTAATATACCAGGTGCGTCTCAAAAACGAGAATTGGTATGTTAGTATATGACATAAATTAGGATTGATTGACGTATTCAATTGTTTTTGGTCACTTCCTGTTTCACCGGAAACGACTACAACTTTTGATTTTTAATTGGCACCCTTGGTATTTTTTTACTTTATTCGATAGAAAATGACATATGAATAGAGTGACATATGATATGTCAACTTTTGACATTCTCGCTTGATAAAAAATCGAATTTTAAAATTCAATCTAGAGTGCCCCATGGCTATGATAAAAACACTAATTCTTAATCAAGGAGCCTTGGAAAAATAGATTTGATCGTCTAACGTTTTTAGTGTCTTGTCCTGGCCAGTTAGAAAATGCTCAAATCGTATTTTTTAATCATTTCTCAATTTTTTCAAATAGAACGAGGGTGGCTCATTAGCATATTCGGAAAAAGTATTTTTTTTTAGGAATAATTTGATAGGTACTACACACTTGGTATTTCGAGTCAAATTTTCGTTACGAACCGCAAGTTATAATTTCAAATACCCCATATGCGAAAATATCAAAAGTGACATAAGATAAAATATGTCAATCTAGTCAGAGTGTTATTTTTAATCGAATAAAGTGACAAAATACCCAAGGTTTCATTTAAAAATCAAAAGTTGTAGTCATTTCCGGTGAAACAGGAAGTTTTTACCAGGAAGTAATACCAGGAAGCAAATAAATAAAATATATCAGATAATAATTAAAATCTTTTATGATTTAATTAATTTAGATTAAATTCGAACAGTATAATTAGAGGAGCATTGGCCTTCTGTTAAATCAGCAAGTCTATGAATATTTCATGCTGTTGCAATGGAGTGCGGCGCGCGGCGTCTTTAAATATAGATAAACTTACCAGCCTCCATTTCTCGTAAGCGTAAATCCAAACTTTGACTCCCTGTCCACGGAAACTCGTATGCCAACGATTCCCAAACCTTGAGGCGATACAACCTGTCCCCTCATCACTGCAACTCGACTATAGTAAATAAACAAATTATTAGTATATACATTGACAAGATCCAGTTCAGCACATATATGAATAGCCATAAAACTTAAAAGATTAATTAAATCAATTCTGAATAAAAACCCATTTCACTTTTATATTTACAAATTACTAAAATAAACATTGTTACAAAATTATGTGTATAATTATCAATATTTTTAACAAAAGTGAAAATAGATTTTTATGTGCGATTTAAGAAAATATACATTTTATTTGTACTTCAATGGATGATTTTCAAGAAAAAATTTTAGACCATGCAAATTCTGTAGCATTAAAGAAGCTATATAATTAAGTTGCACTTGTTTTTGCTACGATAACGTAAAAGCATAGTAAATTATTTTATTTTTAAATTATCGTAGCTAGGATATTGTGGTGGGCAGGCAATATTTTCTTATTGCTACAAAATAAAAGAATGTTTCTATACGAAAGGTTACACTGCGTATAAAAATACATTACTAGGACATTCATGATACCGCTTAATCACTATGATAATAAAAATATGTATAAGGTGAGTAATAAGTAGTAAGTTATATTAAATGCCGGACTAAAACTATTGCTACAATATAAAAGTGCTTACTTACCGTCCTGAGTTCTGTGACCATTATAAATGTTAAATAATATGCTATTCTGAGTCAATGCTGTTACTTTAAAAAGGAAATTTCTATTTTTCAGTATTGAGCAAAATTAAAACATCAAAATAACGGTCATTTCTCTATAGATATACTGAGTGTAAATTAATAAGTGCTAAAAATTAAGAGGTTATTGCGGTTCAAAAATTAATATGGGATTTTTAATTAATAAATTTTTGATTTAGTGTATGCCTACATGGTTATTTATTTATATGGCGTAAATAAAAAAATACAACATTTATCTCAACTGAACTACTGAAGTAGCTAGGCAAAGAGTGTAAAGGCATCCATACATTTCGGTTATTTTGTACGGGTTTAACGGAACGGGTAGAAGTGTACAATCGCGCAGTCTATTTAAGCCAGTGGCGAGAACAGTTCTTTATATATTTTTTCAGCGCATTGTACCATTTTTTTCTATAACTTTTTTGGATTTTCTTTTTGACCGCATTTACCATCGCCACTGTTAGCAAGTTGTTTCTTGAATACGTCGTTCCCAACTACGGCGCCGAGATAAAATAAACTGAACTGAGTGAGGCAGGGTGTGTAGGTTGTTTGGCCGTGCTTTCTATCCCTGTGGTGTATTTTAACGGTAGATACGGTTAAAACCGAGCAAATTATCCGAAGTGTATGGAGGTCTTAATATCTTATTACTAGGTTAATTTTAGACGAAAATATGGACAGATCACTACTAAATTTCTTTACGAATTTAATGTACAGTTCTAATAGGATTAATAGTACTAAATTAAATTTTATCCTTATTTATTTCTACATGGTATGTGGAATGTAGATAATAAAATGTTTACAGACAAAAACGTTTCAAAATTAATTATTATACACTAGAAAAAGTTTGCACTTATTTAGACATGTATAGTTCTACTCTATATAGCAAGCGATTTATTATTAGGACTCTATAGAGTACTTCCAAAGTTGGTAACATCTTTAGATCCGTCGATAATACGTACTTTAGAACTGAAAAAAATGCAGGATTTGCAGTAACGATCACATAAAGCAATCCACTCTTAATGCTAAACAAATGCAGCAGTAAACAGCGCACAATCATTAGACGGAACGATAGGACGTTATACACTTCCTAATTGCTTTTCACGTTTACGCCCTTATAAATACCCATTATCATAGTGACACAGCAGTTAAACTTAACAGTGTGTATGTGAATATTGAGCAAAATGCAACGATGCAGAATAAGGGTCTCTTTAGGAGATATAATTAATAAAGGTACGATAAAGGATACAGGGTCGTACAAAGGTTAAGGGTTTACTTATACGGGGATACTGAAGCATAGGTTAAATTAAATTAGAAACTCGGTTAAAACTTTTGATGGCAGTGGTAAAATTTATCTCTATACTCTTTTTATGAAGAAATTTAACCTTTGCTTTGCGTAAATGACCCCAGGATTGATAATGACACGTAGACAAAGGTAAGGGATCAGTTGAGCCGTCATTTTATAATTAATTTGTGTTTTGATGTTGTACTTGGTAATAATGATAGTTTTTAACAAAAATACTGTGTGATATAGGTAGAAGATGGTAGTTAGAACATCTAAAAAACTTGAATTAATTTTGTTGCACATAATTATATTGTTTTTTATATAAATACTCACAATTATTTTTAATTTTAGGCAGCATTTGTTAAATAATATTTTGTTGAGAGTCTGTTGATAGTTTTGAATGTCTACTTTAAATTGGAGGTGTAGAAATAAATGAAATACAATGCGTTTATTATTTGTTGGTAAAACACAGATATTTTCAAAATATAGAAAGGGTAGATTAATTAAAGTAGTAGAGTAATTCAGAGTAAAACTTGAGTAGATTATAATATTATAATTGTGACTGTAAACCTTCTGAGTGACCGATAATTAACGAAATAAAATATTGTTAATGTATACAGGGTGGTCTGAACTGTATTCCGGAAACTTCGGCAACATGTTCTTTAGATAAAAATAAGTAAAAAAGTTCGTATAAATGTATGTCTTAAACTGCTTACTTTCAGAGATACAGGCTGCAGAAATTTCACTTTTATTTCAATTTTTTCTAAATAATTTCTGAAGTAACATCAATATTTGGATGAAAATTGGTGTCAAAAATAGTTTTTTGACATGAGAAATTTGATTTTGGTGTCAACATGACTCCTACTAGTAGAGGGCGCCACCTACATGGGTTTTAACTGTTTTGAAGCGTAATAACTTTTTGTCCGTACCTGTATAAAACTACCGAGCGAAAAATATACATCTCTGTGACTTTTTACGTAAAAAATATCTCTTTGTAAATCGCTACGAGCAACCGTTCTTAAGATATTTAGAATGGAAATAGACAATACATGTCATTATTTACGGAAAATAAACCCGTGGATAGATAGTTTTATTTCACTGAAATAATAAATTTAGGAAATTTTTATTTTATTTAAATTAATTATACATTTTTCTGCAAAAAATGATGATAAAACAGTTTCTGTTGAACTTTTGGCACAAAAATATTTCAAATTTATGATTTCAGTCTAATATAACTTAGTTAACATGTTAATATATGTCAATGATGACCGGTATTTATAATTTCGATTCCAAATATCTCGAAAACCATGACTCGTAGCGATTTTTACCAAGAGACCTTTTTCACGTAAAAAATGTCGTGAATGTATATTTTTTACTTAGTAGTTTTATACAGGTACGGACGAAAAGTTATTACTCTTCAAACCAGTTAAAAAATATGTAGGTGGCGCCCTCTACTAGTAGGAGTCATATTGACATCAAAATCAAATTTCTCATGTCAAAAAAGTCCCAGATACCAATTTTCATCCAAATATTGACGTTACTTCAGAAATTATTTGGAAAAAATCGAATTAAAAATAAAATTTCCACACCCTGTATCTCCGAAACTAAGCGTTTTAGGACATACATTTATACAAACTTTTTTAATTATTTTTATCTGCAGAATATGCTGCCGAAGTTTCCGGAATACAGTTCGGACCACCCTGTATATTACACATTCTGTTTTTGGCAATGTCATAATTCCTATATATCGACTGTCCTAATGCCCTAAAATATCTGTAAGTTTTTAAATGCAACACTAAACATTCCTTTTGGAAACGTAAATTCGTCATGTTTTAGCTCCATCTTCAACCAAATTTAATGCTTTCCATTTTCTTACCTTCTTTCTATACTATGGAAAACATTTCACCTAAATGTATATATAGTATTATTTTTGTTGAGAAGACATCTAGGTAGATACAAATTTCTGCAATATCTGGAAGTACAATTCTCCCTTCCAAACATTACTGCTAAATTTTAATGTGTATCTTAATTTTATGTGTATCTTATACACCGATTATACACAGAACATCATATTTAAGGTGGTTAAGAACTAGTAATTAGGGTACATTTGTAATTTATATAATTTATAAAGTATAATACCATATTCAAAAAATCCTTTGATATTTTTCAAATATAACCCAATACTCAATTAAACTTCCATCTTAATAAACACCTTTCTTTAATACATAGCTTATGTATTTTTGTCTTCACTGTACAATAATAACTAATGATTAATGATGTATTTTACAGATGACGCAGCGACAGAGCATTCATGGCAACTGAACAAGAAGTATCTATTGCCGTTATTATCATTTTTTTAATTGGAAAAAAATAAATAAAGTTTTATTGATAAATTGATTCATTCTGATAAAATAAATTAAGTTGTTAATTATTTTATCTTTTGTTTTATTACTATTTAGAATAAAATCGAAATTCTAATGATACTGTGTTAGATTTTGGAAACATAAATGTTAATAATTTCTAAATGAATATATGAATTGTGATTTGTTAAATGGGCATCAGTCACTATTCAGCCAGTTTCGATCTTTTTCATTTTTTTTTCAATATTATATTCATCATACTGCAGTTTCTTAATAAAAGGGCCGCTGTCCTGAAATCCAGAATGTTACTATAGCGCGAAAAACATGTGTAGTTTCATAAAAGGCTTCAGTCAGTGACTGATACCAAGTAACTTTTCTGATAATAAATTACAATTATTTATATACGGAAATATTTGGCAAATTTTATTAAGGTCTTGGAAAGATTTTTTTAAGTATTTTCAATATCAATTTAAACTAGTTAAAAGAAACTAATAATTTTACATTATTTTATTAGAATTAAATTTTAATTCATAAATTTTGAAGTGTAATATTTTGTATATAATATATAACAGATATATTTCTTTAGAAAACAGGTATTAAAATATCATTTAATTATATGGTATATATTGCTTGTTTGCTATTTTATTTTCTTTCAAATACTGATTCACGGATTACTTACTTAAATTCAGCCACATATAT